CCAGTGAAGCTATGGTCGAAAAGTACAGTAATGCAGGCCATGGTCAGCACCAGGGCTAACAGGTTTGTGGCTAAGGGCCCGATGACGATTGGAGCCCACTTGGCAAACTCGTCAGATTGAGAAGAATCAGATTTCCTTCGAGATTGTCTGAAATAGTGTTAACCGCAGCATTTCCAGTAACATTTTCCACGTGTTGGCTATAGGTAGAAGAAGGGGCGGAGTCTGGAAGAGTATAGTAGTGAGGATCTCCATTGCAGCACCCAGAAGCGTTAGGATTGGGGTAGTAAAATTCTCAATGGAAGAATAACCACCAGTTAGATCGCTAATTTCGGTATTCGTGGGTATTCAAACCTGGTCTGTGTTACCGCTAACTTGATATCAGTGGTAAGTTTCGATGCGATTCCCTCTGTCTTTAACACGATTGGTCAATTCTATACAGTAATACACATCCCCTAACCTTCAAGGGCATCATGATGCCTAGTACCACTGACACGATCGCTGAGGGAGGACTTCAGGGCACTTTCCAATCGTTAGGATGCGGTTGTTGTCAACTATTAAATACAACGTGCCAATTATACGAAACTGAGATATACATGTTATAAACCTACACGGAAGAGTTCCCGCACCTAAATAAATTTTTCTAGCCACGCCTGGTACTTGGGTAGATCCCTTATGCATAAACCATTGGGGCAGTTCGCTACTATTGTAGTTGTAGCTATTTTGAATGGCTACCCGCTTAGTGAAGGTAAAAGTGGACAAACGTACATATCTACACCGTCGAAGCGATTACCATCAACGATGCCAAGGCATCTGGATTCATCTCCGTTCTGCTCAAAACTTAATTAAGCAGACACACCCGAGCAAACAAATAGGATTAATTGGCATCGCTGTCATAGAACTGCGGCCTGAAAATAATATGAATAGTCCTCAAACTGCGGAGACGTACGGTACGCAGGGAACGGGGTTGCCATTGTGTTAGGAAGAAGCCCTACGGGACAAGCAAAGAACAAATATCTCTGAGCCACGATGGGAGGGGCGTGTGAGAATAGAAGGAAAAAGAGAATGGCAAAAGATTGGGAATGTCCTGATTCCACCAAACTCTTTAAATGAACATCCACCGACCACTGGAACATCACGATGTTCTGCGTTCAGTTGGCTCACATGTCACAAAGGCACAAATATGGTCAAGGATAACTGTAAACAAGATATTCAGATGTTCCATTGATGCCTGTGTGGAACATCGAAGAATCTAAGGAGAGGGAAATGTGGAAAGTGGTAGATAGATGTTTCAAGAGAGCGCTGATTGGTCTGAGTTGATATAATTGGTTTAGTGGCACAAGGGGAGACAGGTATTGGTGGTTTTGATGTAAGGGTACAACACGAATAGGATGGCCCACAGCGAGTCGTGTGTAGTAACTTTAGCCCACGCGAGTGCGAGAGTCAAGGTGCAACCACAGCAGGCGCCTTACGGCTGCAATCACCAGCCAAGCATTTCAAAAGGAACGACCATCTATTCCAAAAAGAACACGTAAATAATATTAAAAAGTCCATCTCAGAAATTAAATGTAAGAACTCCAACAGGAAATGTCACTCAACCCATCGAGTCTAGAAGCTGGCATGCTCGTTCACTGCTCGGAATATGGCCTAGTATCATCACGGTACGATCCACCAGGAGGACTGAATGATCCGTTGTCCTTCTCCCTCACTGGAGCATATGCAACGTTGATAGACCTAGTGGACTCTCTTCCTCCCCTGCGAATGTAGCCAAGGACAGCCATAACAACGAGAATGAGACCAACGAAAAGGTTGGCAGCCAAAAGGCCGATAACGACAGGTGCCCATTTGCTAAACCCGCTACCGGATGAAGATGTTTCACTACCCCCAAGGGCACCTGCGAGAGAGGCGCCACCAGAGGTTTGATATTTCTTGTCGCCACCGTTGGCCGGTGCATCTTGGTTCTGTTGCTTAGCGAGCTTCTGGAAGGCATCGAAAGTCTTGTCGCCATAGGCCGGAGGGTTGACTGCAAAGACCATTCCATCCATAGAACAATGTTTAGCCTATAAAAATATTAGAAAATTGGATCTGAGATGTTGAACGGGTCATGGCTTACTTGCTGACAGTAAAACCAGAGAGGCGTGTCCACTTTCACTTCGAACTCGAACCACTTAGTGTTGTATTCGTCTGACACGAACTGGCTGCATGTTAATTATGAGAAGATAGCCAAAAAAAAAAAAGGGTAATGAAGAAAGAGAACGTACAAGCCAGAGTTAATACCCCAATCTTGAGCGGTACAAGGGGTTTCGAATGGTGATTGAGTCACAGTGTGGTTTTTCGGGAAGCTGTCCTATTAGTCAGATCAAGAAACCCCAGTTGGCAAGAGAAAATGCTCACAACTGGAACTTGACCTTGTCACCGATTTTGGCGCTGATGAAAGGAGGGTCATACTTGTTGCCACCCTTGCCGACAGTGATGTAGTGTTCAGTGGGATAAGAAGGGGATTGCTGATGGTCCCAAGGTTTACTGTCATTCATCGCCGGTTGCTGGTATTGCCAAGGCTTGTCATCTTTAGGGGGTTGTTGGTGCTCCCAAGGTTTGGCATCTTTCGGAGGTTGTTGGTGTTCCCAAGGTTTATCATCCTTAGGAGGCTGTTGGTGCTCCCAAGGTTTGTCATTGTACGTTGGGGGAGCTGGCGCATCTTGATTCTGCTTCTTTGCAAGTTGCTGGAAAGCGTCGAAGGTCTTGTCACCGTATGCAGGGGGGTTAACAGCAAAGACCATCCCATCCATCGAACAATGCTTAGCCTACCCCAGACACATTTAATCAAAGGATGGCATATGAGTGTATAACGGGCTCGTACCTGTTGGCAGTAGAACCAGAGCGGCTGGTCCTCTTTGACTTCGAACTCGAACCATTTAGTGTTATAGTCGTCGGTAACAAATTGGCTGGTGGGGTAAATTAGATCCAAAAGGAAGAAATAAAAGCTCCAAGCTTACAAGCCAGAGTTGATGCCATAAGGTTGAGCAGTACAAGGTGTTTCAAAAGGAGACTGCGTCACAGTATGGTTCTTGGGGAAACTAAAAAGTCTTCAGTACAAGAAAAAAGAAATGAGATGAAGTAATCACAATTGGAATTTGACCTTATCACCGATTTTCGCGTTAACAAAGGGAGGATCGTACTTGTTACCACCTTTGCCAACAGTGACGTAGTGGTCGGTGGGCTGAGAAGGAGGCTGCTGATGTTCCCAAGGCTTATCATCGTACTTAGGAGGAGGTTGTTGGTGCTCCCAAGGCTTGTCGTCCTTGGGTGGTTGCTGATACCCCCACGAGTTGTCATCTTTAGGCGGTTGCTGATATCCCCACGACTTGTCATCCTTGGGTGGTTGCTGATACCCCCATGGCTTGTCATCCTTAGGTGGCTGTTGATATCCCCACGGCTTGTCATCCTTAGGTGGCTGTTGATATCCCCATGGCTTGTCATCCTGAGGTGGCTGCTGGTATCCCCACGGCTGGTCGTTGTTCTTCGGAGGAGCGGGAGTGTCTTGGTGCTGTTTCTTTGCGAGCTGTTGGAAAGCGTCGAAGGTCTTGTCACCGTAGGCAGGAGGGTTAACGGCAAAAACCATGCCATCTTCTGAACAATGTTTTGCCTGTAATGAATGTGAGTCTTAGATGGATTGCGTTTTAGCTTAACATACCTGTTGGCAATAGAACCAGAGGGGCTTTTCTTCTTTCACCTCAAACTCGAAATATTTCGTGTTATAGTCGTCGGGAACAAATTGGCTATATGCAAATTATGAATGCTAGGTCATAGAAATGAAAAGAGGAAACGAACAAGCCAGAGTTGATACCATAGGCTTGGGCAGTACAGGGTGTTTCAAAGGGAGACTGGGTTACAGTGTGATTCTTGGGAAAGCTGAATTACGTGGAAGGTCAGAGAGAGAACCTTGATAGAAATGGATGAAAGGAAACTTACAACTGGAACTTGACCTTGTCACCAATCTTCGCTTGAACAAAGGGAGGGTCATATTTATTACCCCCTTTGCCAACTGTGATGTAGTGGTCCAAAGCGTATGTCGCTGGAATCGCAGCGAGAAGAGCTGCAACGGAGAGAGAGAAGATGGAAGGCATTAGAAGAGAGAAAAAAAAGAAGAGAAAAGAAAAGAATATAGAACTTCCTCATGGTCCATAGGCTTATATAGTTTTTTCACGCAAACCAGAAAGGGTCGCGTGAAATTGCTTAGAAGTGCTTGTGGCGAGCACGGCCTGACCTTGGTCCTCGCACAAGACTTCTTCATCGCCGTCTGACCTACCACTCATTGCCTCCGGGCTCCGGCCTCCGAGGTTGCCACTTGTGCAGAAAGGCGGATAATATAAGTTGGAGCAAGACAATCTTTGACGAGTCCTACTTATTGCTAGTAAGCTGCCAATCAACAGAACAATATCTAAGACATTCGTGAAAAAAAAAAGAAATAGAAGTGAGCACGGTCCAAATGCCGACCCCATTACTCGCTGCCCAGTGGTGGTACCGGCCACTTAAATCAAAAGCCAATATCCGCGGATCCGTAATTGGTTCTAAGTGAAGTGTGAAGTTGAACTTGGGTTCCTCGCGGCTAACAGCGGGGAATAACAGAAAAAAATTGAGGTATTCGACCTGACCGATGAGTCTCGTCGTTGGCGTACGAAGACGAAAGCGACAGCAGCAAAGGGTCATGTGATAGCCGGTGCAGTGGTTGACTGGCAAAAGTCATGGTGGACTTCGAGTGAGTGCCATTCCCCTGATCATGAGTGTTCGGGATGGTAAAAACGTCATCGATGTCACGTGCCATCATTTGGACAGCTCAAAGTCATCAGTACTCGGTCCTCAGATTCTATGACTTTACCTTGATGAAGCCACATACACGGAAGTTGAAGGAAAATGCGAAAATCATCCATGTTCGGGGTTGGAATCCAACATGATCCACATTCATTTTAATCGCCATCATTTGTTGTTTTTCTCAACAAATGGGCGTTATAGCTCAGTCGTAGAGCAGGGGATTGCAGATCCCAAGGTCGCGTGTTCAATCCACGCTAGCGCCTTGTCTTTTTTGTCGAATCGCGCACTCTACACAGTCGCATGTTTGTGATATATGCCACGGATACAAATGTTCAAAAGCAACGCAAACAACCGCGATGGCTCTGTCATTGCGAGAATTTTTTATTTAGTTGTTAGGATGGTCTCAATTCGAGCTATAATATCCTTAAATGATTGGCCTAGAATCAAGCAGAACTCACTAAGTACGTTTCGATTAAGTTTGTTGCGTGCAAGTTTTTAAAATCGTTACATGCGATCGGTTTATCGATAATCATTTCTTCTCGCTAGCCACTGGTTATGGAAAGCGTGGGTGAATACCTGCGCCGCCTCTATTGCCGTTTGCATGACTAGCTCCGAGAATCCTGACCAACACTCATTCACACATAGCTTTGGTGGGACTCTGAGTAGGACAGCAGCGAAATCGAATCAGCGATGCAGTCCAGTTAAGTCAATAAGATCTCTCCAGGGACGATTTGAGGTTTGATTGTTCCACTGAATAGAATTTAAATGGCACGAAAACTCTGCCAAACTGAACGTGCAGGCCTGAAAAGTTCGACCTACTTTGTTAGGATGCTCACACAAGCGCAATTAACCCAGCAAAGAGGTTAGTCAGAGTAAAAATGTAAAGCGAAATAAGCTTATGGATAATGCTGAGCGTCCAAGAGCAAAGTCAGATGGGCGCCTACCATATTCACCTCTTCCTTTACTATCACCACCGTTGGTTTCCTCCAGAAAGGATCACATACCATTTATATTCATGGACCTCATCATAGGCCTGCATACAAATTTCTTGAACTTCATCATGTGCCCAGGATAAAACTTGAACTCGTGTTTACCCCGTTTCACCCGAGAACAGACTTGCTGTTCCCACCACTGTGTTGCCGGAGTATTCAGCCATGGCTAACACCCATGCTTGCCGCCATATTACTGTATTTAATACTCTCTGCTTGCCTTTTACTCCCACAGATCCCTGCCAGTTTCATCTTCTTCAACATCAATCAGTCCTTTATTCTACACGACTGGGTCTCTCAGGCGCTTGTTGCCGGCTAATCATGGCACAGTACGGAAAGCACAACTCCGGCAGGGATCTTAGGCCATAATTGTTTGGACTACCTCCATTGAGAAGCTATACTCCCACAACTAGGACTACTCTGTGCCTGGGTGCAAAGTAAGCTGGCCAAGGGTCCCGGTTTTCATCGATTAATCCTCTTTTCCCCCCTTGCTTGACCAGCCACAAGGGGTAAACTAACGATGACCCTGACCGCCCGTCAGAATTCTCCGTGAACTCCTCATGTTTATAAAGTCGTGAGATCTAATATGACATCGTGTCCTCCCCGTCTCCATCTCCTGATGTTGCAGACTTTTGAACTTGTAGCTTTTGCCATTGTTGGTTTGGGCATAACCTATACCTTGCTCACAGGCCTCTTCTCTCGACGAAAAGTACCCTATCCTCCTGGGCCAAAAGGCTATCCCATCATCGGGAATATCCTTGATGTTCCGAGTACTCTGCAATGGCTGGCATATCACAAAATGGGAAGCGACTCGGGTATGTGATGGCAATTATTCGGGGAAGAAAAAATGTTGACCGTATTACAGAAAGCCCCGTTATTTCTCTTGACATGCTTGGAACTAGCCTTGTCATTGTCAATAACCGGGATGCAGCGAACGACGTTTTCTGGAAGCGTTCGACTTTATATTCCGACCGGTATGTTCTGGATCGTCTTGCCTGGAGAAGTTATGTAGTGAAACCGTACGAAGCCCCCGTCTCACTATGCTTAACGATATTGCTGGCTACTCTTGGTGAGAATTGAATTCTGGTAGCTTCTGAAGTTAACATGAAATTCAGGACATTTGGTTTTATGCCATCCACACACCCTGAATGGAAGATTTCGAGACGACTCTTCGATCAACAATTTAAGGAATCAGAGTCAAGGAAGCTCCGACCACAGATCCTTGATGGTGTAAAACTGCTGCTTAGAGAACTTGCTTATGGTCACAGCGAAAGGAAAATGGAGCGGCAGTTCAGATTGTAAGTTACTTGTTCTACTTATATCAATTCTTCTGCTGAAAATTTGTTCAGTCTTGTTGTTCGGATTATATTGGACGTAGTATATGGTATTGACGTAAACGATCCCAACAGCCCATTTGTGGAAATTGTTGAGGCCGGACTTGATGACTGTACGTCACTTCCTCACTCTGGATTACACCTTTCATCTCATTGTTCCAAGTGGACAATTGCGTTGGGTATGATATCCTTGAAGCTTTCCCCGCCTGTGTGTTTTTTTCCCCTAAACGGCCTTGCTACAGCTCTGATAAGCACAATAGTGCGGCTCCTGCCATCATGGTTACCATACATGGGCTGGAAACAAGAATCTATGCAATGGAGAAAACACGCCGCAAATATCAAAGATGCGCCATTTGAGGAAGTCCGAACGGGGCGTTGTAGTAGAGCGTCTATCGCTTCGAGGCTCATCGAAGAACTTGGCGAGGGTGACCAAAAGATACTACCTGGGGTCCTAGCTACCGCATTTTCTGGTAAAGTCACTTGTCTACAAGGATATCTATAATTCTAACAAGTGTATAGCGGCGAGTGACACTGTCCGTGCGCAGCAACTGTGGCCTGAACCGTCCTAACCCCTTAATAGACTGCTGCGTTACTACACACATTCATTTTGGTGTTAACGCTTTTTCCTTCTGTCCAAAACACACTAATGGAAGAAATTGATCGAATGATTGGTCACGATTGCCTCCCAGATTTCAATGTCAAAGCTTCTCTCCCGTACACTCAAGCCTTTTGCTGGGAACTCATTAGATGGAGCTGTATCATGCCTTTAGTAAGCATTTTTTTTCAAATACTGATGTTATTGCATTAACCTGGGTTTTGGGCAGGCTCTTCCACATCGATGTCTTGAGGATGACATTTGGTTTGATAAGTCCAAGCGCATGTCCTATCTCATTCCCAAAGGCGCAATTGTGCTAGGAAACTCTTGGTACTTTTGACTTCAATCTCCACATACAGCGTGCGCTTATCCTATATTTAGGGCAATGTGCAACGATTCTAAAGTCTATTCTAACCCTGAAGAGTTCAATCCAGCTCGCTTCTTAACTGCCGATGGAGCCAGGCTTAACCCTTCTGTGAACCAACCCGACATCATGTTTGGATATGGTGCCCGTTCGTGCCCAGTGAGTCATTGGGTTGTTCAATATCATTCGCTGCTCGGGTTCGCACTTACAGTTACTTGCTTCTTAGGGTCGTTGGATGGCCGAAGATATAATCTGGTCTGCTGTAACATCGATTTCATCCCTGTTTGTCGTTAAAAGGACTCTATGTTCTCCTACTTGGCATAACAACTTTGACGAATTAATGACCCCGACATTTGTCAGGTGCGCACTCTTATATCATGAACTCGACATCCACACTCACGCCGCTTTGGCGACAGGCACCCCAAACCGTTCGAATTTGAGATGGTTCTTCGTCGCGAAGGTAAAGATCTGCTCCTATAGCTCTCAAAAGTGTTTGTCTAGTCTCGTGTCGTGTGTAAGCTACTTTGTTATGTATACAATTCCCGATGATGCAAAATAAACCAAATAAATAGTTAAAAAAGCAGAGCGAATCATAGCTTCGAAGGTTCGCGGTGAAATGTTGGAGGTAACCTCTGGATAGGACTAAGCTTTCTCTTCAAGTCTCTCAGTACTGTTGTCTTAGGGTGCCAGTTCTTAAACGCGTCCCGTAAACCAAGAATCTCTTCAGAGAAGAACGTTGACACCCGATGGTCTGCGATTAAATCTCGGAGTGACCAGGGAATCTCGTAATCATTCTGCTCCATCTGTGCATCGAAAGGGGCAACAGAAAGTAGGGGAGACGGATTCAGACCCTCATTCGTGAGGAACATATAGTCCACCGCCAGGCTAGACATTTGGTTGAGAATTTGTGAACGTGTTAAGAATATGGTAAACGTACTGGAAGTTGGCAATCTCTTCATAAGCTGTGGAGTGCCCAATGCCGCTCAAACTGCCTGCAGTGGCTTCGGATAAATGTGCAAGTAATCCAGAGTCAGGGATGCCAGAATTGAGAGCTCGTATGAGGAGGACGAGAAGATTGGAGATGTAATCATATTGACTGTGAATTGATGAGAACCATGACTAAAAGTGATGAAGGAGGCAATTTACTTGTAGGCGTCACCGTCGATATACAATGCCCTCAAAATCAGTGGGTGGGACGCTGTTGTAAAAAGGCCGGAATATATCGGAACAACCTGGTCATTGAGTGACGCAACATAGATCATCTTCGTCTGTGAAGATTTAAGCCGGGTGGATTTTAATGTGTGGTTTTGTGATGACATACCTCGTGTTCTAGCACGTTTTCCAGGGCAGCTACGTAACTTCTGGAAACCTCATTCTCGGTATTCTGGAACTCGAAAAGTTCTTTGGCCGCAGCATTTTCAAAGTACTGGATGTATCCTTGAAATGCAGAGCTTGTCGACAGGTAGCGCAAAGGGCCGAGATGGATCCCACAAAGCGCGAGACACAACACTCGTTGATGCTTCCGACGTTGAGGTGGTGACGTTGTAGCTGGAGCAATATTCATCTCGTCAGCAGATGTAAACGTCGTCGACACTTTTTGGGAAGGATTCGAGTCCTTTTGTGCTTTGCCTGGTTCTGGAGATGCCGCCTCTGTTCTGCGAGCATGAACCTGTTCCGATTTCCTAGTCCATAGATGCTGATCTCGGTACAGCCGGTCGAGGAGGTGCGTTGAAACGACAGATCCTTGAGAGTGAGTTGCTATGAACACGACATCAGCATCATGGGTTGCAGCCATCCATTCCTTGTTGGAAGTGAGCGAAGCGTAGAGCCTAGCAAATATTTAGAAACTCAATTGATCGCTGAGAAGATAGCCACACACTTGTCCACGCGTTTGTTGATTGTACCCTCCCCCTCTAAAGGGATCTGCGTCACTGAGTCGAATCGGACACCATGGGTCTCTTGAAAATCGTCAAGAGCTTGT